TTTCCCCTCTGAAACGCTACATATAAGGAATTAAGAAGAATTGAGAAAAAATAGTTTAGGTTCACCTTTCGTTTTTTGTTATTGCTTAGGTTCACCTTTCGTTTTTTTTATTGCTAGTTTTGTGTCCTATAGAATTATAGTATTGAAAATCTACACTTTCTTTTTACCACTTTTTTTTCGAGATCATTCTTCGCCTCCATTTGTGTGAGAGACAAACAAAGGCTCTCTTGAATTTATCTTGAACAATTTTAGTGACCTTACAATTCTAGATAAATTATGTAATTGTCGCAAAGTTGATTTTCGCAGGCAAATGGAAGTGAGAGAGCTTTAAAGGCGCAAAGATGAGCAGAACTAATGAAACGTTTACTTTATCCTCCTCACCTGACTTATTCCTTCAGCCTAACTCTCCCTGTCTTGTTACACAATTTCACAATTATTCGAATGTTGTGATAATCAAGTTACTACTTTCCTATAGTGCCTTCCCAAATGAGATGATTTTCAATCTCTCCCAGTACTTTTGAAGTCTCAAGTAGGGGAAAATCATAAAAACAAGTTGCGGCTGCGAGATTCTAAACTGCATAAAAAAATTAATATGTCCCACATACTGTGGAAAGGGAGCAGTTAGATTGGTTGAGACGTCCTTTTCTGTGGTTTCATATCTTGAAATATTCAAAATATTTAAAAAAGTGCCATTTCGACTCGCTATTATAATTGCTATATGAACCTTTTAAGGGTAACCTTGAAAACTTTGAGGTTGCAAATTAAATTTCGTGCGAGAAATGGGATTTAAGATTTAAGATTTAAGATTTAGGTCAGATATATTTTTTGTCAATAACGAGAGTACTGAATTCGGTTTAAAACTTTTTCAGTAAAGAATTAAAATTTCTGAGTCATTAAAATTCATAAATATATGTTATGCTGTGGAAAACTTTAAATTCTCTCATTTGCCTCGATAGGACAGAAATTCGGTAACATAGGTTTGTGTGGGTTTTGTATCATAGACGGTGTATTATGCGTGGGTCATCTATCAAAAATATTGAAAATATCTCAAACCCAGTGGCCGAATGCTGCGGGAATATGTGTCATGTATCTTTCTGTTAGTTTGCTTCCATACCAGATGTCACTGGTCACTAACTACATTTTCAAATTGATGGCCGTCAATTTAAGAGAGTCGTTTTCAGAAAATCGGGCGCAAAAAACCGAAAAAACCAAAACTTCTTTAGGGTATGACTATCTTTTTCAAAATTGAATTTAACTTTCGCTTTCTGCAGAATGCCTGAATTTAAATCAGTATTGCGCGCAAAAAAATAGTGTTCATCGTGTGAAAAAAAATACAAATAACTTTAATCATATCATGATAATAAGAAGACAAACTGTTGACCCTAATGGAGTTTCAGAGCTCTGTGATGGTCTACGCAATTTTTCATTTTTAACTTCACTTAAAAAATATTCTTAATTGCAAAACAAAGTGATCACAACATTCGGTGCTCTTGAAATGTGGTTTAGAATTCTCTTTGATATAAATACTTTATTGATATCTCTATAACTAACAGAATATCGAAGGATATAAGTATTTAAAATCTCTTCGAGAAGATCTCATTTGACGAAGAACTCACATTCAGGCGCGGCTATGTGATTTCATATGGTTGTTTCAAAATCGAGACTTCTTCCTCTATAACATTCAGTGAAGTACACTAATGTAGTTTTGGATCCTTTTGTTGCACTCAGAAAAACATATATTATTTAGTTATCTATTAGTGCATTCCTCACTAATGGTTATTTGCTGTTCATGATAAGATGATTAAAATTGATAAGATTGGGTAACCTGCAATTGTGCAAAAAATATTTTATGGTAATCTTAAAGGGACGAAGAGGTGGTAAACACTAAAAGATGAGATTTTTATGACAAAAAGGGCAAGATTCTCAAGTATCGTGGAATCATACTGACTCTTCAAGACATTTTCGGTTAGATTATTTGATTTTATACACTGAGTTGATAATAAAAAGACTTCCTGAAGCTGAAGTTTCTAGCGGTGGCCGTTCGTCAGAGGTAAGGTTTGAGTCTCTGAGAAATTTGAGTTCATTGGCTAAGTGATTTAGAGTAGGTTTTCTCTGCTCAAACCTCAACACTGTTTCAAGGAAAGTCCACAGATAATTTTTTTAACCATATAAACTGAATAAATGACTTAATTCTTAATTGTCTATAATCTTCCTGTTCATTTATCTATTTATTTATCGCTTAATTGCTAAATGGCAAGTTTATTGCTATCAATATTGTTATCACCTTTGGTGTAATTAAATCGAGACGGCGCTTTCATCGAACGAGCGGGCCGGTATGACAAGGCAATATGTAAATTCACGTGAGATCGAGCATGCAATAACTATTCAAAAAACAGATGCTTCCTCTGTTTCAAGTGGGAAATTAGAAGAGCTAACAAATTAGACATTTAATAAAGGTCATGAGATTTTTCTCCACGAAAAATTAAAAAAAAAAAAAAAAAAACATATCACCGCACGGAGATTTCAGAGAAATTTTTGATCAAGCGTCTTTGTAAACCAGAGCAATTGCTTTTCGATTTTTTTTCGTCGTAAGATAAAATATACGAAATTTTTCTTCCGAATGAAAATGAATTAAGTATAATTTAGTATAAGTAAGAAAATACACAAACCATAAATATATGTTTCGTAAAAAACGGCAGATAATAATGACTTAACAAATGTCCTGAGATTTAGCCACCTTTTTTCGTGTTTTCTTTATTTACCATTCGGTTTAAAAGCGAATATTCTACAAAACAACTAGAAAATTAAATGTTCACCATTGAAAAAGAAAAGGATGAAAATAAATTTCTTAATCTAAGGATGATTCATTTGAACTAGCTGCAATGATATACCTTTCATGGGCACTAAAAGCTACAAAATAGGAACTTTAGCCCACATGTTGAGAAGTTTTTTAAATCTAATAAAAATTTCTTTTAGTCTACCTTTTTGATGATGGGTCAATTTTCACTGAAAACGCTATCTTACATTCAAAGACTTTCCATATTTAGCTGTAGTTAGATACTTCTCTTTAGCATGCATGAAACAAGTTACACTTGAGACAGAAGTAAACTTTCCTCATCGAAAAAAAAAATTAAACTACTACTTCTCATACACTTTTACGAAGAGAAAGTTTAGAAGTCCAAAGGCGTCTGATTACCATTTGGAGTCAAATCTTAACTTATGTGTAATAAATATAGAAATAGATGGATACTGTAAAATGGAAAACAGATTCAGAGTTGAAAAGAGAAAAAGTTGTTTCTCTTTTTATCAATCGGGTTGAGTTCTTTTTTTTTAATGTTTGATAAAGAGCTAAGTATTACGAGCTTATTGAAATATTGAAGCCGGTCCTTACCACAATTTTCTTCGCTATGTCTTTGAGAATCATCCTAAGTCCTTACGTCAACCTTTCCAAAAATAATTGTCTTACCTCTGAAACGGCGAATCGTTTATATTTTTTGCCTTGAAGGTTACCACCGCTGGCTCACTATCAGCTGTCTTCCGACAGCTTTTAAACGCTCGAAATATCTGTTTTAATCGCTTTCTACTGACTCTGAACTCTGCTGAGCTCGGCAAATGGTGGGCGAAATTAACACAAAGCTCATTCATTAAACTGTCTTGCAACGGATCCGTAATTACGTCTGCACGCGGGGAAATTATATTACGTAAAATTAATTTGCCTTTTATCGCGTTTTTTGCTTAGAATTAAGATCTGCAAGAGTTCTCACCGCCGTAAATTGCCTTTCATATGTAATAAGAGATGCTTAAAACGATAGCTATCTGAAACATGAGCTTTCCTTGAAGAACCGACAGGGAAAATATGTCAGACGTATGGCGGCATAGAGATAAATAACCAAACGATACGCGCTATGATTGGTTCTTGGAAGGTCGTAAACCACGATATCACTGCCGCATATTTGTTCAAGACTTCCTAGATAATTTAAAATAGCATAAAGTGGCAGGCAAAACCGGAAAGGTTGGTCTATTTTATCGGCTACCCATGAGAGTTTTAAAATCAGACTGTTTAATAATTGTATTTAATTCAGACAATTAACATTGATGATATTCAGTCCAAACTTGCATCTCCGCCATTCAGGGTCCGACCTCCAACTCTATGGATTGATCGACACATAACTTTTCCCTACGTTATCTACATTTGTAAAGAAAATTATTCGCCGCGTAAACTATTTACCACTGAGGTGGAAATTGAGATGGTAGAACTAAATATTTCGTCTATTCCGATTGTTAATCTTAAAAGTTATGAATAATCTGCAGGATAAAGTTTGAAAATTTACCCCTACGGGTTTAATAACTTTTTCCATGAGCGGCTGTCGATGGTGTGATTGGCGATTGTGTCCGGAAAGGGGCCGTAAGGCGAAACTTAAAGAAGAGCGCCTGCTTGATAGCTAAAGGAACGGTGGTAAGAGTCTAAGAGTCGGCGATAAACAAATTTAGAGAGTCAAAAGATAATGGGGGACCACCGCTAAGTATAAGTGATGTAAATATAAATATAATATACATTTTTCGAAGACAACAAAATTGCACGAGCCCGTAGGGCTAGTGCCATTTGCGGTCTTTGAAAAATTTGCAAGTGCTTATTACACCAAATTGCAAGAGAAATCATGTTATTACTTCTTAATAATGTACATGAAAAAACATCACATGAAGTCAAAACAGACAAAATTTTGAAAGCGTGCGCACGCGCTATTTGTAATTTGCACGCGTGGTACAACTTTGCCCCAGTGTTACATGAGAGCGCACTCGTTTTCAGCCAATCAGGAACGCGTAATTTTTTTCTTGCCTATTATCATGCAACCAATAATATACTCGAAAGTTTCCTTGCCATATAAACAACCACCGAGTCAAAATGACATTCACATTGTTGGTGGCTTTCGCGTCACGGTAAGAAAGTCAACTCCACAGTAACATGTCTTCTTAAAATTGATTGAAAGCATTTTATTCGAGCGAGTCAGTAAAGTCTATTAATTTGTGATTGATCAAGCAGTTTCATTGTCTTAAGACTACATGTGTATTAATCCTCTCAAAATATCTGCCATCTCAGCTCAATCCGTTAGCAAACGGCGTAGGCGTCTTTGTGAGGCGAGTTAGCGATACAAGCTTGTAAGATCGTTTATCCAACCGGCCATGTTTGATTTAGAGTTAGAGTGGACGGTGGGAGTGGGGAACGTGACCCTACCCCTCCCCTCTCCTTGCCTTGATCGTCATTCATCCCCCCTTGGTAATCATTTCTTTCTCTGCCCGGCATCCTACGACTGTAAAAAGTAAAAGATGACAGCGAAAAATTTCACCAAGAAAATACTGAGCACTCGCTCGCCAAAATCACGCCTGCTCTGCTGGCTACTCTACCCCATAAAGTGGCATCAATTGTGTTCCAAGCGAAACCCAAATTCTGATCCTGGTGTAGAAATTCCACTGAAAATAGGGTTACTACAGGTCACTGAAAGGATGGACAGCCTTTGATTTAGGTTCTGGCGAGGGAATCTTCGAGGAGCCGTACCACATCATTAACCAATTCATCTCGCGTATTCTTTGTGACCTTAAAAGAAATCGTTTGTGCAAACGATTTGAACACACAACAGAGAAAGTTTTAATTTTTTGTTTCACCATGTTCTGATCAACAACTCTTCCCTCCAGCTTGTCAACTAGGATTATGAGATTATGCAGCAATGCTTTTATATCGAAAAAAGGGCAAGTAGCTGTTTTTTTAGTTTATTCCCATCACATTTTTGCAGTAAGTAGTGTTAATTACTGTCGTAAGAGAGCTGCTAGCCTGTTACAAGTCAATGAAGTCTGGCAGTGACATGTTAAAATATCATTACAAACGTTTTGACAATGCAGAGCTGTTCTCAGGATGCTGGATTTTCCAGGACTTATACAATACAATATATCCAAGCTTAACCTGTCATGAGCATTTTATTATGGTAACAAATCTAAGTGCAAATGTCACACAAAATTTTGTTTTTTTTCAATCAGGCCCTTTGTGTTGTAAGGGTTGAACATTTTCTCAACTTCTACCTGGTGAATAGCAATTTATCAGTTGTATAGCATTATCTGCCCTTTAAAGAACTGGTTTCAAAATCTTATAGAGTAACACCTCTCTTCTGCTTTCTTAGCCTCAAGAGTGTCACCCCAATAAATCATTGTTTACTGTGTGTCATTCAAGAAATTTCTGGCTCTGTTGAGAGTTTAAAAAACATCTAACTATATTTATTCCAATAATACATTAGAGCACGTATGGTACTTAAAGAAACCTTTTGGTAAACCTCACCTCAATCAATGTCACATCTTGCCTGTTCTTCAACTCCTCCACAAATGGGATAGGTCGCTGTTTTGTTATGGGTACAGTGGCCAGTATTGTAGCTTGTGGAGATAAAAACAGTTCACGGACTGCACTGATAAAGCTCTGACTGAAAAGTTCCATTTTTCCTATTTCATCTACTATAACCACTGTCTTGCCATGTGGAGTAATCTGCAGATATGAAGTGAGGTATGCATGATCAATATTTCCAGTTTTTGAAATGTTTTTGATCTTTTAAGAACCAACACAGTTTATAACAACAGCCTAGGAAGACACCTTTCATGGTGACGATTACCTTGGTGGAATTTTCAGTGCATGTCTTAATGGTTGGAAGTGCAAGCTGCTCAAATGACTTGACATCCACTACATAATTGCCAACTGAAGGTGATGCTCGTGCCCTTGCAAACTGAACATTGCTACGAAAAGATTATTATTCATGCATGTAAATATTACAAAAGTACAATAAAATATGATCAAAGAGAAATATTTACAATCATAAAGAATTGACCAATCACCATCAACTGGCTTCTTGCCTGAAATTGGGGGTGGGGGTGGAGTATCTCACTAATGTTATTGTTCAAGTGTCATGATGCAGCCTTCAGATACCCTGACCCTGATCCTGACAGGGATAAAATCCCACCATTTTTCCTACCCTAGCTGTTAAATAAAAATAGATGTACTGTAAATTGAGGTATATCAACTTTTACAGAGCCACATCTAGCATATTCAGACATAGTGAAAGAAAAATATCACCTATATTATTTTGTTATCACCACACATTAGGGTAAGGACTTTTCAATGAAAGCCACAGAATGGTGAACTTTTATACCACTCTCATAACTCAAGACCCCACTCCCTCAAAACCATTTGTGGCCCCTCTCCCACCTCCCCGCTGAAATGTCCATGTTGTGGTATTTTGAGAAGGAGACTGAGTAAATTGTCAAATCTAAAACTAGTATTGTATTGTAGCTGACATAGGTGAATCAGATGTTGAGCAAAATTCCCCTCCTCTCAGCATTTTCAGCCATTGACTGATATATCAAGGCTAAAGAATCATTTACCAATATCACAGTCCTTTTATAATGAGCTGGGAAAATCCACTTCCCTACATTTCAAATAAAAAAAGACTAGTCTGGCAATTTTCAGTACCAGTAAATCCTATAAATTACTCATTTACATTTTTATTGTACAAACATGCACCTGACATACCTCTTTGTTCTGGCTAAAGGTCCACGTTGCCCATTCAGAGTCACAACATCAAACCCCACCCTACTTCCTGTCTGACTGTTGCGGACCTCCTGTGTATAAAATCCTTGGGCCTGGATGGCTTTTCCTTGAAGTGCCTCGTAAACTTTTTTACACATAGTCGTCTTGCCAACCCCTAGCCACATGTATCAAAGTGGAACGCAATGAGGGCACAGGTTGAGGGTCAAGGCCAGACATGGATGGGGGTGAGGGAGGGCTGGTGATGCAGGGTGAACCTCGGTAAATCATGAGGTGATATCACTTTTGAATTAGATTAATAATGGTAATTGAACTGATTTGAGTGATTTCAAAATTGACTGAGTGTGCAATGCAAGTTTAATTTGAGATCACATGTATGATTTCAGACCAAAATTGCATGATAAGAATTTCAATTACAACATTATAAAATTTATTTTTGAAATCTCAAAATTCAGTTGCTCAGTACAGGATTTTTTAGTGCATAGATATAGTTTACTGATTCAGAACTGAGCTGGTTGGTAAAAAGTTGAAAAAGTTGTCTTTCATTTCTCTCTAATTAATATTATTGGTTTCTTGAAATAAGCCTTGAAATCTGATTGGTTGTGGTGTTGTAGTGAAGGTTCCTCAGTGACTATAATCTTTGCCTTAACACCATATGGAGTATTTTGATATATATGGGGAAAATACTTATCAAAGACAACTAGACAAATTGGTGTCCAATAACATTAAAATTGTGAAAAAATTGATATAATGTTTAACCACTTAACTCCTATGGGTGACCAAGACGGAGTTTCTCTTTACAATGTCAATACAAAATCAAGCAGACAAATTATGAGAATAAAGAAAAATATCAATTAGGGGATTTTAAGTTGATCCAATACCCAATTCTCCAAGCTAACATCACAAGAACTCTACGGCAGAAAGTAAGGAGAATTACTGATGAGATCTTGGGAGTTAAAGGGTTAATTGTTTTGTTATGGGAACCCGACAGTCTGCTTAACATTGACACATGCAGATTCTAGTCATTCTAGGTGTTCATCTCAAAATTTACTTCGACAATTACCATTGGGTAGTTACTTGCACCCCAACATCAATTTATATATTCTCCACACTGTCGTCTACTAATTTCCTAAGATGCAGACATGGAGAATTTGTTAGCACTCGAGAGCTTCTTTAGTCGGTGATCATTTTATTTATTCTCGTAACCTTGCTGTTTAATTCAGGAGTGATGTTGTAAGAGCATATCAGATGCCTGTCCCTAGCCCCTAGGGGTCAAAGAATTAATAAATTAAGGGGAACCCCTCTCGAAGGACGTTTGGAGACTATGGCGAGGGACGGTGTTAAATTCAAGGATAAATTTCCGCCGAAGTAAGAAAAATTTTCTGTTCAAAGATGATTTTTAGTGAATTTTATGGACAAAGCAAAAAGTACATCCTAGCTGTAATTTAAATCGTTACCTGGAGAGCCTGTCAGAAGAACATGGCTTTTCCCTCCGGACGCCATCTTGGAAAGGTGACCGCGCCTAAACTTTCGCCAGGCTACTAAGCTTGATTGAAAAATAGTCGGAAGGGAGGGTTGCAATGTACATGACAGACTTGTCTGATATTATGATTGTGAATATTCGTTGAAATTTAGCGGAGTTGGCTAAGGAAGCGCCCGATGACTGATAGACTTATCGAAAATGGGTAATTCGCTGTCTCCACATTTAGAGAGTGCACAAAAAACTGGAGTCTGTTCTCTTTGTGGCAAGGGACTGTCAGAGGTAAAACTCGATCGGTTTAAATTCTTGGAAAGATAATCCAATAAGTCTCATGCTTTTTTTGATCGTTTTATGCTTAGTATGGTTCATAGATTGTTTTTATTTGAAAATGTAAACCATTTTATGAGATCGAACGGCATCGTTGCGGTAAATGTCTTGGATCGATGACAATAATGACAGAAGGTGAAGCTCACGTCTGAGATGGATGAAGCGTTCGTTGCAATACCAGATGCCATTTTGCTTTCCATTTGCAATTTTCAAAATTTTCTTTATTACAACGTTTTATCTATGCTGAAACAAAATTCACATTACAGTTCATGTGATTGCGGAGGCTTCCACAAGGGGATGTTTAAGTTTAATAAAGGTTTCTATAACCCTTTTAACTCCTAGAGGTTATTAACATGTTACTTCTCCTTACAATATCCATACATTATCTGGCAAAAAGGTAATGAGAATATGCAAACTTATTTGGTAGTTGTTTTCTTGATTGAACACCAAATTCTTGTCATGAACATACAAAGAAATGTGTGACAGATGGAAGGAAGAATAAAATAACAGACCTTGAGATTAAAGGGTTAACTGTGCTAAGGTTTTTTATAACAGCTGTCGTGTTTTAATTATTCATTCCTCAGTAAACTTTGTTTCATGTCATCTGCGTGCAGTACTGGCAAAAGTTCAGATCTTGCTAGCACTGCATTCAGTGTGTATGTTGCAAGTTGCATGTATTATATTGCATGCCTACAGATCATGGACAACAGCTACATGTAAATGCTTTTTGTGACTTTGTTTCAAACAGATTCCTCCTCAGTTGCTAAGGTTAGGGAGTTCCTTACGAACATTGGACCTCTCTGAGAACAAATTAAAGGTTTTGCCCGCAGCGTTTGGCAGTTTTACTTCCTTGAAGAGTCTTACATTGTCATCAAACAGTATTGGTAAACTATAGCTTTATGTCTTGTTTATATGTAGCCTGGAAGTAGGCCTCACTATGTAGTAGTTATTATTAGTACTGCAGCACAAGCGTATCTTCCCTTGTCACGGAGGTCAACTCTTTATACCCTAACATTAGTATACATATTCTCCATACTGTTCCCTATACATTTCCTTAGGTGCTGACAAGGAGAATTTGTGTAACAATCAACAGCTTCTTTAGCTGCTGATATCTTTCTTTATTCTCATGACCTTACTTCATGATTCATGGGTGATATTGTAAGAAGAGGCTTTGAGATGTTGAACCAAGCAAGCTGGTGATAGGTCTGCAAGGAATCTGGCCCTCATTATCAATGCATAACCACTTGCAGACCTCTCTCTGGCAGGTGTTGATCAATGCCTCAAACTTATTTTGTAACACCCTGGTACTAAAATGCTAGTAATGAGGGCCAGTGGACACAAGCTAGTTTATATACTGTATAAGCCAAAGAGAAAATACCTGGCTTATCCAATTTTACTTTTACATCCCATTAAGTAGAACTGAAAGCAGCTTTTTAATGCCAGCAGTCAGACAGGAGTGTAATGAAGTATGGGAGAGATTTACAGCACTTTGGCGTTGATGTGAAATTTTTACTCTCAGAGGCCAGCAAGTCCAAAGTTGACCAAACTTTTCTGAAGTTCTCGCAAAAATTTTCAAAGATGTTTCATTTCTGTTTGGAAGATGTCCTGTAGAGTCAACAAAAATGGGCCTGAAATGCTCGTCCTTTCACTATGGAAGGTTTTGGCCAAATGTGGAGTTTCTCTAGAGATGGCCAAAATTTTCCTAACATGTTATAAATATTCCCTAAGACTTTCTGAAAATACTTCAGAGGTGTCCTGAAGACACATTTGGAAATCCATTCTAACAAGAATTCTTTTCTTCTGTCTCTTAGGGGTTTTACCAGTGGAACTCTCTCAGCTGAAGAAGCTAGAAGTATTAATTATCAACAAAAACCATCTTAAGGTCCTCCCTCTAGGACTTTTCACAAGCCTGAGCCATCTTAAAACCCTTTCACTAGCTTCCAATCAGCTTACAGCATTCCCAGAGGGCCTTGGTACCTCAAAGCATTTGGATGTGGTTGATTTGTCCAATAACAAAATCCGCAGTCTTCCAGAGTCTGTGGGAGATTTACAAATGGTAGAACTTAACATGAATAAAAACCAAGTTGCATTACTTCCTGCCAGTCTTGCAAGATGTCCTCGACTCAAAGTTCTTAGATTGGAAGAAAATTGTTTGGCTTTAGATGCTGTTAATCCAGAACTTCTGAAGGAATCACAGATTTCCCTGCTTGCAGTGGATGGTAATTTGTTTGAAACAAAACAGTTGCGAGAGGCTGAAGGCTATGACCAGGTATGTCATATAAAGGTGATGTTGCAAGAATCACATATGCTTGAGGAGTGCAGTAAAACCCTTTAACTCCCAGAAGTAATTCACATGTAAGTTCTTCCCGCAAATCCATACATTATCCTGCAAACAGTAAACAAGAGTAATCAAACTCATTAAGCAAAAGTTGTTATCTCAATCCAACACGAAATTCTTCATGTTTACAAGATAAAGAGGCTTGGTCTCCAAGCCTCCTAAGTATATGATCAAAAAGTGTTGCTTCTGTCCTGGTTTGAGATTAGTTACAGTTTGTAACTGTACTTGGAGCATTTTCAAACAGTTATCCATATAGTCATGAATTTTATGTGAGGTAGATATCAGTGGAAAGACCCAAGGAAAAAACTAATACCCCTCCATTGCTTGGTGATTCTGAAATTGCCCAGAATTGCTTAATTTCTACTGGTGGCTTTTTTCCAGTACAAAATCATGTACAGACTATCTTTTTGGGGTTTGCACCTCATTATTTAGAGATATGCAAGAACATGTTTATCTTCCTTGAGGAGATCTGTATAATTCTTTATGTGCATTAGGAACATACAATAACAAGTTTTAATTTCTCTTAAGAATGAAACCACCAC